TTTTTTTTTTTTTTTTTTTTTTTGCGGTACGTGGGCCTCTCACTGTTGTGGCCTCTCCCGTGGTGGAGCACAGGGCTCTGGATGCGCAGGCTCAGCGGCCATGGCTCCTGGGCCCAGCTGCTCCGCAGCATGTGGGATCTTCCCGGACCGGGGCACGAACCCATGCCCTGGTAGGCAGACTCTCAACCACTGCACCACCAGGGAAGCCCAAAAGTATAAACTTTTATGGGAGAAAAAATAATTTTGACTTTGCCAAATTAAACACTTTTATACTTCAATAACAAGAAACAACCCAATAAAAAATGGGCAACAGTGTTGAACACTTTAGCAAAGAAGATAAACAGATATCAAATAAGCACACGAAAAGATGTTCAACATCACTATTCATTAGAGAAATGCAAATTAAAGCCACCATTAGATACCACTGCCCACCCGCCAGAATGGCTAAAATTAAAAAGACTGACAAACCAAGTGCTGACAAGGGTACAGATCAACTGAAACTCTCATATACTGATTGTGAGACTATAAAATGATAAGCCCCCCTTTTGAAAACCATTTATCTGCATCTTAAAAAGTTAAACATACACCTACTATATGACTCAGTTTTTCTATTTCTAGGTATTTAACCCAAGGTAAAGGAAAGCATTTTTCCATACCACGATTTGTAAATGAATGTTCAGAGCAGCTTTACTCGGAATAGCCCGAAACTGGAAACAATCCAAGTAGCATGGAAGCAGTAGATATGTCCATGGTGATGGTTTCATAGGTGTATACATCATTCAACATTTGTAAAACTGTACACTTTAAACATGTGCAGTTTACTGTATGTCAATTATACTGCAATAAAACTATATAAAAAAATTGTTGTAGTTATAAATAAGATAGTCAAGAACAGAAGAATCTGGGGCTACTTCCCTCTTAGGGAAACCCGAGCTGCTGTAGTAGTACTCAAATACTCAGAAGAACAGATGATAATGAGAAACTGCTCCATAGCCAGACTTTTAGGCCCTCCCATAGCCCCTGGGCAGCTGGGGGGTGAAGGTTAATTTAAAAGCTGTGGTGTAGTGACCTGTAGAGAGCATTATAAGAGATTTATGTTCTTTCTCTTCTACCATTCTGACCACACAGGCTTCTCCCTGTCAGATTTGGGGAATGCTCTGTATCCAATAAAATAAATAAGTACGCCCAACCAAAGAATAATTAATTTGGTTAATGGAGTGATGGATTTTGAAGACGTTTGCTTAGAAAGTGAAATCACTCTCTCAAGAGGTTTAGTAAGAGTATTTTATCAATGGGTTTTCAGGTAACAGTCAAAGGTCGATATTAACTTTCAGCCAAACTGTGAGACTAAACTGCTCAGCCCACACAGTGAATGGAACAGATGCCAAATTTAGTCAGATCAGCTTACAATGGAAACACGTCTATCAGAAGACTTACAAGGAACATCTGTTTTCCTCATTCCTCCTGGTATGTTCTTTGAGAGAAAAGAAAGCTTATGTTTATGAAATATTTTTGTGAAGCCTAAATACCAGCATCCTCTTTCTAAGAGAAGAGCAAGCTGATGATTGAAGTCCCCTGAAGAGACATTTTCTTTGACAAGTGGAAAACCTGGATGCAGAAGAAAGCTAAGACCTTTGCCCCAGGTGAATATCAGTTCTTTAATAATCTATTTTAAAAAACGAACTGAGATGAACTCCAGATGTTATACAATCAATTATAAGTAGAACCTTCATAAAGTAGCTGGTGTGAATCTTCAAAAGTTGTACAAAATCGTTTAAATAAAGAGAGCTTATATTAAAGCTCCCTTATATTATATTACATTAAAGAATCATAGGGAA